GCAACGCACTTGCAATTTCCCTGATGTTGCGAGTGCTCATGGACGGAGGTAATCACTTACCATCAGGTGAGCCACTCTCGTTTGTCCTATATGCTATAAAATTATTATTATTATTATCCTGGTTAATTCCTGGTGCATATATAATAGTAACATAACATTTTTTGGCAATGAGTACCAATCACATTTTGAATTACATATTTTGTTTAAAAAATATGTTTACTTACTAGCTACCCGCCCCGACTTAGTACGGGTGTACCTACATGTATTAGGTATACATATAAACCTTCCACTTGAATCACTCTATGTACTACTAAATATTGCATTAAAATCGGTTGCGTAGTTTAAAAGTTCTAAGGGAACAGACAGATTTTAAACTATGTAAAGATAAAGAATTTATGTCGGATATATACCCTATGTTTTCCTTTTGGTCTCATATATAATTTAATAATTTATTTATTTATTCTGACGAGATTCATTGGTGTTAGTTTCAGAATAACTTAAAAATTATATTAGAGAGATTATACATACAGATGTACATACTGCAGTTTTGTTTAACAAAATCGTATTATTTGTCAAAATCGGTTAATAATTTATCTTAGCAGTATCGACGCACCTTTGCTCGTAGAAATTATCTGAAAAAAAAAACAACTATTGCAGTAATTGTTTGCTATTGCATTTACTTTAAAAAAAGTAATAATTCAGTCATTCAAGCGTGCAGCATTACGCTAATGACAGAGGGTGGTGAGCAGCAATCACGAATATTGCCAGGCTATTCATTTTGTTTTGTTTTGATACAAATGACACTGCGCACGCGACGACCGGTAAGTACCTATCTTTGCTAACTTTTAATAATTTGTGACTGCAAATAAAAATCGGTACTAACACATAGGATTTAAGTACTAAATTAGTTTACTAATTCGTATAGACCAAATTGGAAAAACTTGGAACTGTAAATATTATTATTAGTATACCAGTCCCTAAAATACGGAGAGCTATTCCGTACCACAATTAATGACCTAATTTTTATCGCTTATTTAATATGTTTTCTTTTTTTTCTTTTTTCTAAAAACTATGTAATATTATATAATCTGTGCTAAAAACCAACTTTAAAAATACGGAATATGTCCTTACGTCTGTTACTGACACCTTTTACTACTAAACAGCTGTGAGGTCTTAATTGAACAGTACTTCAATCAAGACACCTCAGCAGTTTAGTACTAAAAGGCATCAGAAACACGTATATACATATATATATTACATCATGGGGTCAGATCTAGACTATATTTATCTCAAAAAATGCAGAGTAACGGGTAATAGCTAATCTGTACTAATAATATCTAATATTGTAAATAAAGAAAGATTTGATTATTCTTTTGCATCGAATAGGTTCTGCACCTATTGGACCGATTTGAAAAATTCTTTTACCATATGCTCCGAAATTACTGAGTGGATTTAAAAGACTCTTTCACCATTTGAATACCACGTTATCCCTGATGAACATAAGCGAAAATAATACGACAGTTTTATAAAGAACATCAATATCCAAGGATGTGTGTGTGTGGGTACATAAGTGTTAAAATTTATCATATAGATAGTGGTATCTAACAAAATTTAAAAAAAGCGAAGCCGAGTAGGGCCTCTAGTGTACAATAAAGTGAATCTGTACCAACAAACATACGTGAATAGATGTCAATCAGTGCCATCATAAATCATTACAAGTCGTCAAACGTTCGACTGACGATAACAAATCTACAGCAACCCTTGCCTGCAGCAGATGTGTTTACATGTTGTATGCGGCGATCTGCGAGGGATGAAAGCCGAACGACTTTCGTGAAATTATATAGAATAATATGGATATGCCGCGTGATACCTTTTTTTTAATTCTGTTTTATGTTATGTAGGTACAATGAATGTATTAAAAAACATTTTTTTATACATGTAATAGGTGTTGTTACTGAGAGAAATTAAATGGATTTTTTATCTGCTCATCTATGGGATAGTACGCGATAATGTCAGAAACGACAATCCATATGAATGCCTGAATGTATTGACTTCTTTATTATAGGAGTTTAGTGTTTGAAATGAAATGCTTCATTTATTACAATCGTTTACAAAGAACAATGTTAATTGAAATAACACGCCTTTTTCTGGAAACGACGCATATGAAGTCGAAGTCGTATATATATCTGTCTATAATATTTATTTATTTATTAGGTTATAACAAGGCTGAGAGGTACATAACCTATTTTTACCAACAATGAGTTTAAATAAATACAGTATAATATCAAATGCAAAGTGTCAAGATTCACATTAGCCCCTGAATTAGAGGAGCATCATATCCCAAGCGGTAAATTCGAACTTGGTAGAATATACATCTCGTTATTAACGCACCTTTGAAAAGTTGATCACTGACACGTCAAGTATATTGTTTGTGTTCGATGCATTTGAAACTAAAGATTATCAGCGGCCTCGCCTCACCGTCATGCCTCTGACTAGTAAAAAATCTATTATATATCTATAATATATAAAGCTGCATTACGGTGACTCACTCACTGATTATATTATTTTGATCTATTATAAAACGGCCACAATAATTGACAGCAATACTAATTGTATGTCAGTATTTATGTTGTAAAAATCTAAGCCTGAAAGCGAAGGCATTTTTCAGTTTTTACGCCGACTCGAAAAAATTTAAGCATAGGGGCAGATTCACATACGCTCATGCCGTATTATAAACAAGTACTACGCCAATGCATACGCTGTATTATTATGGGGACACATTGATATGTGGATATATAGACTTTGTAGTGTATCAAAATTCATATCATGGTCATGTCCATACAATACTTTACTCGGTGCACGTAGTAACAGGTGGTCGGACAAAGGCCGGCTCGCAGATTATCTCGGCTATTATTATTTTATGCCTATTTGCTTGCGATCCTTTGTGATATCTATTTGACGCCATTTTGTTATTGTACGGTCAGCAGAAATTCTATGAATAGACTTTGAATATAATAATAATAATCTCAGGATAATTCACACAGCGCCATCTAGACCCAAGTTAGCTAGCTAAAGCTTGCGTTATGGGTACTATACTAGATAACTGATACAATCTTTTTTCATAAATACATACATATTGTACATAGAAAATACTCAGACCGATACAATCATACTCATGAATGCAAATGTTTGCACCGTACGAGGAATCGAACCCGCGACCATGGCGCTGCGCTAAACCGCTAGACTAGCGAGGCCGTCAATATTGAGAGTGATCCGAGATGAATACAATGTTACAGTACAGAATGTTAATATTATCAATGAGAAAGGTACGAGGGTGCCGCTACGGGACGTAATAATTATATATTGGTCTTACTGATCTTGATTCAGTAGACAGTACCGAAATCTCGTAACTTTCACTACACACAGGTGAAGTGTTTGTTCATTTAAACGGATTTTGATGAAACTTAATTAATATAGCTTATACATTAGAATAAGACATAAACTATAAATTCCATGCGAGAGAAACCGCGAGCATAGCTAGTACGTATATATAATTTTATTTGAGCTTAAGTAGCACGGCGTATCAATACAGGGATTGGTAGGAGCTTATAGATAGCATTGAAAATTAAATAATACCTTTTTTTATCGATGGCGATAAGGTTTATACGATTAAAGTACATTATTATATTACTTATACAGTAACACTAGTAGATAACATCGTAGAAAAAACATTATTTCTATTTCATTGCTATTTTAATAATTTACTATTTTAATAACAATATTAATTTCGTTTGCTAGGATTATGTTTTATTGCCATCCAGTAGATGCAGTGACCAGTTTCCAATTCATCTTCAGATCAAGCCATTAATATCCAGCTTTCATGCTTAGTCTCAATTGTTCTATAATGAAATGTTCATATCTATAATCTACGAGATTTTATCAAATTCGGTAAATTCGATAAAACTTTTAAGTTATAAAAGAATCAACTTATTAATATTTTTATGCTAATGTATCTACATTACCATAGACTATTAATATATATTATTATAATATTGTAATTTTTTTTTATTTATATTCTTTATTGCACCAATTACAGAACAAAAAAAAATTATAAATATACAGTAACTGATACAAAAGGCGGTCTTATCGCTGAACAATCTCTTCCAGACTGCCATTGGGTGGACAGTGAAAATAAGAAAATATTTATGATAATTATATATTTTTTAGATATCTTTTATATTTGTTATTTCAGTTAAATGCTAACCAGATGTTTAGCATATACTTATCTTATTAATTCACACACACAATTATTATAAACACGAACGTTTGTGGGTATAGGTGGATGTTTAATACTCTTTCATACAAAAACTACTGAACAGGTTTTGATGAAACTTTACAGTATCTAATATAGCTTACACATAGGCTATAATTAAAAAAGATATTTTGTAAATTGGACATATAATGATAAATGTCAAGTAAGTGTAATGCAGCGAAGTTGCGCGGGACAGCTAGCTAGCTAGCTATATTAAATAAATTAAAAAATATATAATTTTATAATAATATATTATTATTTACAATTATATCTTTACAAAATACATATACAATTTATACACATTATAGTCTGCGCATCAAAGTGTGGCAAAACAAGAAAGCATCATGTCGACAGCTGTCACCCACACCACACGACGAACGGAGTAAAATCTTATAAAAAAAAAATTAAGAACACATAATCGGCTTTACAATAAATATAAAAATACAATATATTATTTTGAAATTTTAATGTGTTTAATTTACAAAACATATGAAATATATTTTATATGTAAATAGGCCAATTGGATATACTAGAAAATGCTGATTAATTTTAAAGTGCAACTTAAAAAAAGAAATAGAATGTAATTTTGACAAAATAGAAAAAGTTAAAAATGAACAATATAGTCATAGATCAATGACTTGAAATTAGTATTAATATATTTTATGTAGAAGAAAGAAAATAAGAAAGAAGTAAAATTAATACTGCAGTACAATCTTCGGCAAAAGCTGAGTGGAAGCCATTTTAACTTGTAATGTAGTATTATTTGACACCTCGGTGGTCTCATGGTTTAGCACACCGCGGGTTCGATTCCTCGTGTGGTACAAACATTTGTATTCATGAGTCTGATTATTTGTATAACTCTGGATGTTTTCTGTGCATATTAGGTATGTAATTATAAAAAAATCTAAGTATTTCTAATCCTGAGGTCCTGTTATAAGTAATAAGTTGACTATATTACTTATAACAGGACCTCTGCTCTGGATTTTAGCTTGGGACTAAATGGTACTTGCAATTGGCCTGAGATATAAGGTATTTTAAAAGATCTTAATTTTTCACAACATATTGTACTAAAAATCTACATAAATCTTTGCTATTATTGCTGAGTTGCACTACTATATTATATTAGTAATGAGAAATGACAGTAAAATTATAGGGTTTTAAAATAAATCGGTCCAGTAGATCCATAGATTGGACCCTACAACCTCACAAGCTTTCCTCTTTTAATATTAATATAGATATACATATATCTAAATTATAACAGATAACATATGATTTAATAAATATATATCGTACAATGTTTCTTTGTAAATAAATGTTGTTATTATATTATATTATCATCGTAATTAACACTTTGAAGTAATATTTGGAAATAATATTTATTTGTATTATATAAATCAGTAGTTAAAAATTTGAACTTAGGCTTCAAGAATATATGGTAAAGTTAGTAAGTAAGTTACATATATATATGTATATACACAGTCAGTTACTTTTAACTATACAGCACCAATTTGTAATATCGGCAGAGCTAACTGGAATGCATTTTGTATATATGTCGAACTATTTCCCGCCTGTGAACAAGATACAGAATAACAATTAATAATATTCGTATAAGTTTGAGATTTTAATGAGTTATTATGTTTTCGATTCTACTATATTTGTTTCGATTTCATTAGGGAGTTCTTCCATGTGGTTTTGTACAAAGTAATTTGCTCTTTATCACCCATTTATCTAACAGTGAAGCTTACTTTGTAAAAGTGTTTTGTTTGGATGATGACACATGGCAGTGAAATTTCAGAGTACAGTGGGTTGATCTTATTTCTCTAGAATGGCAAGGCTTGAGGGGAAAAAAGATTTTTTGCCCATGTACAAGATGAAGTGAGTTAGCCCATCTTGGCAAATGGCAATTTACCACGGTGGTTTCCAGGGGGTACCGCATGGAGGCCAACCTGCCATGGTACATTGTTAGCAATGGGGTTATTAGTCCACATTACTAACAATCCTTTTCCCCTCTATTAAGACTGATCGCAAATATCCTCAGAAAATAAATGTACAAGGAACAAAATACAGTCTACCGGGAATTTCTCTTCCCGGAGTCAATGCCGGGGCAAAAAGGCTCACTCCGTGGCCCAACCTGCACCCTCTTGGGGGACGCGGATGACCCGGTATATTCAATTGAGGAGCATTACGGGCGTACGGCATAACGTTTTTGGCGTCCTTCATTTTTTTTTATACTACGTAGGTGGCAAACGGCCCATCTGATGGTAAATGGTTACTGTAGCCAATGGACGCATGAAACACCAAGAGTGTCACGTGCGCGCATGCCATTTAACACCAGTTAGTATTTCCGGATGAAGTGGAAACATTATTGGCGAAAGACATAAACATAAGCTATAAGACGTAATCAATTATGTAGTACTCACCTCCAAAAATATGTTAGTTATATAATTATTATTTTGTTCCTTATTTTCAACAGGTATAGAGTTCAATTTCTCCGTGAACAATGTCGCCAATTCGCTAACATGTTTTGTGAGAGCCACTGTCATCCTGCAAGTAAATTGTGCATAATAAATAATATTAACAAAAAAAAATTACTTTTAACTAACTGTTATCATTTTTTTATGTGAACCGATTTTGATGATTATTTGAAAGCTAGTGCTTTTAGTATGTTTACATATAAATTTGATCAAGACTAGATTAGTAGTTTTTGATTTATCCTTAATAATATATGTCCGCGTCCGCGTCCATATAACGCCCACACATACCGTTTTCCCTTCAGTACACCAAATAGTCACAAGCAATCATCAGTCCAAAATAATTGTGTACTCAATATATTAAATTGGAAAGCACCCCGGACTTATCATTTATACATCATAGCATCAAGATTGTGTGGGTCACAGCAGACTCATACAATATGTATTTAAATAATTATTTGTCAATACATAAATCATTAATAATAATTAATGATTTAAGTTCAATCAAAAATGTTTTTTTTTTTCATGCCTAAACATGCAATTTTACATAGAAAATATAATATAAATACTTATTCAAATTAAATTAAATTTTAAGATGTTTTGAATCGTAATAGTATGATTCTACTGGCATATGCAGAATACAGATTCAAGTAAGTAAAATAGGTCAAGAACTATAAGCAAAATTATTAAACTGTACATGTCACATTAAATCTTTTACATGTTACAATACAATAATAAATAGCAAAACCTTACTGAGTAAGAGCATCGGCTTCATCTGCAGTAGAGCGTCTGGTCTTGACGAGAAGCATTTCAGCTGTTTTGTGGTACAATTCTACTGACAATGCAGTTGACTGAGCCAGTCCGCTGACTGATCGTTTGTACACAGCTTTTTGAGTCAAATCAGCATCTGTAGTATCCAGCCAAGTTAATATCTCTGAATATTGCCTGAAAATATACATATTTACACTTTTTAAAGGGATGCTAATAGAATGGCGCAATCTCCTGCGTTAATGGTATACATTGGCGGGGTACATATCTACTGATAAGATGAGTATGAGGTCAGGTCAGTTAGCATAGCATGGCAAATTCACCAGGTAAATTCCTGGTGAATTTGCTTTATATGAATTTAAAGTTTTAACATGGTTTCCAGGAGGAACTGAGTGGCGATCAATCTGACATGGTACACAGCAATGGAAAGCCCCATTGTTATATACCACGTCAGGTTGATCTCCACTTATGTATTTAATCCTACCAATCCTCTTCTCTCCACATTTAAAACTGAGGGCATAGCACATCATCATCTTCTGCTTCTTCCTTACCCATTCATTGTGTAATGTTTTTCTCTTATTGGTAGATACAAAAAATGTATTCGGTATATTTGTTGTATATACTTCAAATCTAGACGACTACTACTAGTGGTCTAGTGGATTACCGCACCTAGTTACTTCCAGTGGTTGCGGGTTCAATTCTCGATTTCATGATTGGTATTAATTAGTAGGTACAATATAACTTTGTGTAGGTCTTGATGTAAACAAAACATAAATTACAAAGGTGCTTATTGGATGAAATTGGTAAGACAAAGGTACCCCCCACACAGGCACCTATGTGTAATCAATTAATGCAATTCAATTGAAATGTATATAGTATAGTAGTCTTTATTAACTTACTTTATCAAAGGTTGGAATTGCAGTTTAAGACCAAGATCCTGCGTTGCAGTATGCAGCTTCTCGTGGAATGCGTCAGCTTTCGACATATCTTTCGCCGATGATTCCTCGTCATCATCGTCATCCTCCTCTGGCATTTCGCAAAGTTCTGAAAAATGAATATTTATATTTGATTCATACAACTATTTGGTGTTAAACAGTCTTTCTACTTCAAAAGGAGATATGTAAATGAAATTAAGCACAGTTTTGTCCTTCGATGGATGAATTAAGAATGATACTCAAATGGTATACATTGGCGAGGCATCAGTGGAGGTTGATAAAATGAGAATGGAGGCCAGGAAATCCATCGTGATGAATTCAGCAGGAAATAACCCCGAAGGTATTTATCGGAACAGTATAGAGGTCCGACATTGCTAGCAGTAATAATACATCAGGTCGATTTCACTAGATGGTGTTGTGTGAATTCTCCAAGATTTCATTTATAATGTAAACCACACTTTTGTCAGTGGAGTTCTGACCATTTTCCACAATCTTCCATCAATCTCAATGGTTATTGATATGACACGACTCCTACTTTTCTTTAATCTGCTTGATATAGCTGTGTCTGGATCTTGCCCATTCCCTCTTTCATATATTATTATTAATTCACACAATGACACCTAGTCCCAAACAGAGTGTGTGCTATGAGCACTAAACTAGTGATGTAGGTTCCTCCTGGAAGCCATCTTGATAAGATCCTGGTGAATTTGTAACGATAAGGTTAACTGACCTGACCTCTCATGGTCATCCTATTATCCTCCACTGATGCCCCGCCAGCGTAAACCGTTAGCACGGGCAAGGTCATGCCATTTATACATTAAAAAAACCCCTTCAAATTCCAATACTTTATTTACCTGCAACTTGCTGTAATGTCTCCTTAATATCCTGCCTTTTCTCTGGAGCAGCACCTTGTATGCGTTCCTCTAGACGCATGGTCACCTGCCGTGATAACATCTCTAGGGCTTCTAGATGTACTAGACCTGGAAGATTATGATCATCATGATTAAAAATCTAATCAATATAAAAAATATATATTCACATAGAACTTACAACCTTTCATATTTTTATAAGTCCAGTGTTCTACCGTCCAGTTCTGCTAGCTTTTATAACTGACAAGAAACTTACTGGATGCATTTTTTGTTATTATTTTAGTCACTTTTTATCTTCATCAATCAAAAATTAACAAAATAAAGGTATAAATGAAGGTCGCATTGCTTAGCAGAGGACTTTAGCACTAAAAGGAGTATATGGAGTGACTTGACTCAATACCAACATGATGGCTAGCAACTTCCTCCTTTACTGAAATGTTATGCAAAGATACAACTCTATACCGGAAATACAGCTTAAAAAGCAAGCTGCTTGGCTGCTGAAATGGGTAAGACTGAGTTCTCCATGCAGAGGACATTTTATTTTATTATTTATAATCTCTTATTGCACCAACATAGATACTTCAAGAAAATATTACAATAGATTAAAGAAAGAAGAAGTTACAGAAAGCCGTCTTATCGCTAACGCAATCTCTTCCAGACAACCTTAGGAGAGAGAGTATTACTAAAAATAAAGTAGGCGGCACATTTTACAAAGCCTAGCTAATTTTAAAAAGATTAATAAACAGACAGAAATTTCAATTACCAAAAAGTGAATTATAAATACCTCATACCTTCAAAATCATCAAACAAATTCTCGTAATGGACTTCTTTTGCCTCTCTTTTCTCTTCCCGTATCCTATCCTCTTCTTCTGCTTTCGCCTTTGCCTCCCTCAACACCTGTGATAGTACTGGCTTGTCAGCAGGATCTAAGCCGAGCAATGCACGCTTTTTAGCTAACCCTGGGTCTCCATCTTGAAGTACTTCCATAGTTTTCTTGCCAATCGTTTCTAGAGTATCTAGGCCACCTGATATTACTTTTGTACCTGGTAAGTAAAAAATATAATAATAAGTTTTTTTTCATGTATTTAGAATGGCAAACAGCCTACCTGATGGTAAGTGATAGCCATGCATATATAAACTACTCAAAAGACACAAGTTGAAGCTTGTGTTATGGGTACTAGACAACTGATACAAAGACATACATAACATAGACATTTTTTTTGTAAATACATACATATTATACATAGATGAATGTAAGTATTTGTGCCGTTTGAGGAATCAAACCCGGGCCCATCGGAAGTAAGGCGGTGTGCTAAACCACTAGACCACCAGGGCTGTCAATTTTGTCATTTCATAGAACTAAATTGCCTCTGTTCTGTAATTTCATTGCTTAATATCTACCCTATAAGTGAAACACACAGAATATATAATAAATGCATATAATTATTCAATCTGCTACATACACAGTACAGCAATTTGAAGCTGTGGTGGGTTAGTTAATACTTATTACTTACTTACCAGTAGTTTCAACAAATCTAGTAACTCCTGATAATAAACTGCCAAATGCTGGGAATGCTGTCTCATTGGTACTCTTTGATTCTGGTACCTCCTCCTTACTACTGTCAGATATTGCCACCTCATCAGTTTTAGTCGCTTTCACCTCTGTATCCTTTAGATTTCTCCTTGCTAATTCCTCAGGGTCTGGTGCACCAATACCAGTTTCTAGAACTGTAGTGATACCCTGGAAAATATATCGTTATCAAATGAATTTATAAGTTACTTGGTCATCAGTCCAAGTCGGACCAATAGGTAGGTCTGACAGCATCACTCAGAGCTGAGGATGTAGGGGCATCCGAAATTCCTAGGAGGCGAGTGATCCGTGGAGTTTGGGCGCGGAGTGATCCCCTCGCTCACACTTCGGCCGCTCCTTCACTGGAGACGCGCGGCCGGACTGCAAATGCAAATGCGGACCCGCACGAAAGCGACTTTTGTGGTTTCGGAGGAACACCGAAAGGGTTTTGGTGGATAAAATTCCCACAGTATCCAACAGCACCGCTTCATAAAAGCTCGTTAGTTGGTTGGATGCCGCGGTTTTGAACCTTTCTCATCGTTAAATAAAAAAAGTCCCAACAGCATGTACCCGTAACACAGGCAGATGCAGTATTACACATCTTTGAAAAAAAATAAGTTCATGCCAATGATTATAGAGGAAAATTTACCTGTGACACCTGTGAGGTGAGGGTCGTAATACCAGCAGTTGCAGTACTTATCAGGGAGTCCACTCCCCACCCCCATCCCCATGCTGTGCTCTTTGTGGATGCAGCAGCAAGGCGGTCGGTCACTTCCTTTATATCAGATTCAGTTTTCTTTGATGATTCCAGTGGTTCATTCTGAAATATTATTTTAACATAATATTTAAACAAAGTCGCCGCCGCTGTCTGTTCACTTTAAATAACGCAACAGATCTTAATGTAGTTTTTAGCAATAGATAGAGTGATTCAAGAGGTTTATATGTATTTTTTGACTTTATTATAAAAAAGCCTATTAACAAATATTAATTTATTTAATTTATATCCACGTTTACATCAATTTTTACAAGTCTTAGCCTAATACAATAGTGCCACAAATATTAATTTTAAATTAATTATAGCTTATAATAAATAAAGCAATCTTCATGAACTCATTCAGAGAACAAGAAAAATATAGCTTTATATGTATAGTACATGCGTTATAGTATAGAACAAGCCAAGAAATACAAACACAATTGATCGTGCAAAACTGGGACTGATTACTAGTGATTTTGAAACTTAATTATGGGATGATAGAATGAAATAAAAAATAATATGTGGCTCACTGTGGAAGAGACTTGCTAGGTTCACAAGCAAGGAGGTCTTAGTGTTCAAAGACATAATGAACTAGTGATAATTTTTATTTATTTATTTAAAATAACAAGAGTAACAAGCAAATTTCATGTTCTCTGCTCCTTTTGTTTATGAGTTTGCATTCCATATTAGTGGTAGTAATTGAGTTCATATGAATAAAGCTTATTTCTATTTCTAATGAAAATAAGAAAAAAAAATGTAAATATGTAACTCTAAAGAGCCTAAATTGAATTTATGATGAATTAACAAACACAATGATATAAAAGAAATAATTTTAAATAACATATACTTAATACAACTTTTCCAGCAATAAAACCTTCATTCTTATTAATATAATATTATCTAGCTATAAATAACACATATAATACTATATATATAAATACTGATATATTGAAAGCTTTAAGAAAAGATTCCATCTCAAAAGCCAGCCAACACACATGCAATTCCCCTAGGGTGGTGTTCATAGGCAGTTTGTAGGCAGTGGTAATCACTTACCATCAGATGAACTAGCTTATTAGTCCCTTATGCTATAATTGAACCTACCTGAATAGTATTATTTGTAGTCAAATCCTGCTCCCAATCACCAAAATCATCCCATCCTGTATCTTTACTCTTCTCACTTTCCTTTACTGTAGGTTCTTTATTTGTTTGCTTATTCTTCACTTCTTGTTTTGGTTTAGATTCTGTTGATTCATTTTCATCTATATCAAAATCATCCCAGCCATCAGTGGGTTCCTAAAAAATATGTTTTATAGAACTAGTAGCTGATCCTCGTTTCGAATATGACTATGACAAGTATATGACTACCCATAACTATGTGAGATTGATATTATAATATAATGTTAATATCCAGACTAGAGTGGATGGATGCGGAAGGCGGAAGAGCGCACATGGTGGATTTCTTTGGGAAAGCCCTATGTCCAACAGTGTACAGACACAGGCTGATGGTGATGATCCAGACTATGTCACTCTGTAACAATGTACTTTCCAAACATACTTATGACAATTTCTCAAACTAGTACAGAGTTTACTGTTGATTGCATGGCTGTTTTTTATCTGCTTTGGGAGAAATGGATTTTATATTTAATTTTAAATAAAACAATGTCTTTTCTATAATTGTATTGTGGCAACTGATTGAAACATTCTTAACGTTGGCCGGCCAGCAGATGCATACACAACTATAGCTAGTTTCTGGTATAGACTAACCACTATCATCATGATAAAATCCATATTTATCCCATTTATCCCCACCTGATAACTTATCAGAAACTGGCAATCACACTCAACTTGTGACAAACTTTTCCCACATCTGTTCATAGTTTTTGACAGATTGCTGGATGGTCACAGAAAAAAAATATTCATCCTTGTCTCGATTCCATAACAATATTTATAATATTAGGATATTTTTTATTTTGGCTATTGTGGAATATCTTCATGAGTAATTAATAAAAGAAAATATCGGTAAACAGATATTTACAAAAATTTGTCACAATATGAAGAAACAAATTAAAATATCATCATTTAGTTTCTCATTTATTATATTTCTTACATTCAAGTCACAAGAATAACTGTAATAATAATATACTCTTTTATAGAATAAAAAATATACTACTTGGAAATATTTAAATATAAACACATGGTTTAAAAAAGTTACTTGTTAATTAACAATAAGCATACTTAACCTATCTATGTATGTATAATTTGACTCATGTATTATTAAAAGTTTTATAGAATTTCATGACAATATTTGCAAGTAGATAGAGTACTTATTTGTATATTCATTACAACTTACTGTTGCGTCCTTCTTCTCGGAAGTAAGGGTATTTGAGGTTAGTGTATTTTTTTCTGGTTCTAAATTAGTTTCTATAGAATTATCACTGTAATTAGAAGATGAAATACGTTGTTTTCTCTCTTTTTTATCCAGACTATGACCTTCGTCAGCACTTTCAAAATCTTCACTATCACTTGAAGGCATTATTAGAATGAACTATAAATTGCGTGTTCAACAATAAAAAAATAATCTTATGGTATTCTTTTAGATAGTTAATTATTTATAAATAAAACAAATGTTCGTAACTACTACGTGTTGACAAATCAGCTAAGTAACGTCAAAGTCAAAATGTGACATTCGACTAGACACTGAGCCTTCGATTTTGGCATTTTAAGTTTTTTTTAATATGTTTAATGGCTCTGGTTATAGGTTTACTGGAATCCAATTTTTATTCAACGATCAACGACATCTGAATGTAGAGTGGTCTTACTAAAAATGTCTGTAAATATTATGTGAGTCCTTTGGTAACAACTTAAATCACAATTTCATAATTATATTTTTTAATGCCGAAGAACAAGCTGTGTAATAATAACAACAAATACAACAATATAAATTTGACTTTCATATTATTTTTATTGAGCGTTTTATAATAAAGATTTAGGTATAACTTTTTATTAATATTCAATCTATTTTTAGTTTCAATTAATACTATTTCGACTAAGTCTTTCTGATCTGTGATTTCGGCGTAGTTCACCCTTTAATCAATTTTAGAAGTGATAATCGAGAGTTACCAATTTTCATCACAGGAATGTATCAACTAAATTGTTTAAAACTAGTGACCCGTCTCGGCTTCGTCTAGATGTTCAAAACTTTGTAAGTTTTGTAGGTATATCTGGATTTATTATAATTGTATTTTGTTGCCGAATTTATTTTTTTATAAAAAAATGAGTTCTCTCTTTCAAATAATATGTGCATGTGATGGCTCCCTTTAGATTTTTTTTATACACTTGTGAGTTGTAATGTGAGGGTAAGAATTTTATAAATTAAGATAGTTTAGTACCAAGCACGCTTGCTAGTGAAATAACAGATAACTACTACTAAATGCCTACCGGAATGGTAACGCGTAATATGGAGATGTGATGACAGTGTTTCATGTATGTATATAGGCGACGGTTGCCACTTGCTGTCGGGTGGACCGACGGAATTATTTTAGTTACATAAAAAATATTAACTACCTACATTATTTGTATTGGTTGGTAACAATTACGTTAAGTTAACCATTACTGCACTGTTCGCCATCGATAGGGAATTCATCTCCACACGTTAGAACCTAAGTGGGCTCATTCAGTATGGTTTCAGAGGAGCTTTCCCCCGTGTACACTCAAGGTGTAGAATTAACTATCTACAGCAGCATGAGACATCATGAGTTTTTTAAGTAGGGTATATTAAGGTTTCTGAATGGTCGGTAATACACACATGACATCCTTGATGTCTCAGGCGTCCATTAGTTAACCGTTTACTATCAAATGGGCAGTTTGCTTGTTTGCCAATATCGTAGTATCAAAAGAAACCATAGGTTGCTAGACCGATAGCATTATAACATATCACTTGCATAAAAAAAAAATCAAAGAGCGATGTGAATGGTTAAGTTGATATCTTCCTTATTTGTATCGGTTGGTAACAATTACGCGATAATTATTGCAAAGTCCAAATATCACCGACCGAGCTAACGCCATATTTAGTTATGCCATATTAAAATTTAATACCATGGCGCGCTATATTCGTCAAGTATTTATTTTATGCATTAATTAATGCTATATGTAGATATATGTATAACGGCTACACAACAGTCCATTGTACAATGTTCTCGTGCAGCCAAAAGCCAGATGGAGGCAACTTGGAAGGAGCTCTGTCGCCTAAGACCACAACAATACCAGGGCCGTCTTTCACCTATTAAAGGCCCTGGGCACATTAGGATAATGTGGCCTCTATGACTATAGTAATAAAGCACTATTTTGTTAGAATAGGCAAAGTCATTTTTGAACATTACTCTTTAGAGATGTATATGGGGACCTTTAAAACATCTATGTATAATATGTATGTATTATATATTCTATGTATATGCATCAGTTATCTAGTACTCATAACACAAGCTTTAGCTAGCTTAACTTGGGTCTAGATGGCACTGTGTCAATTGTCCTGAGATTATTATAAAACAAACCAGGCAAAAATGAATAAAAACTAACAAATTTACCATAGTCGGTAAACATTTGTTAAGACTAATTTTCAGGCGAGAGTAGAGTAGTTATCGATTATCGTTTGGTAATGGAGTAGGGACTAGACTAGACTAGGGGGCCCCAATCCATCGCGGGGTCCTGGGCACGTACCCAGTGTGCCCAGTGGGGAAGAGGGGCCTGACGATACCATACCACAAGATATACCATCATAAAAGCCACGACCACTCTGGCAAGAGTGAACTACTGAAAAAGGCGATAAATTTATGTATATTTTTTGTAAGGGATAATAATGGAATGGTGCACTCGCCTGCGCATCATGGCGGGACACCACTGGAGGATGATGAGTATGAGGTCTTGTCAGTTATCACATCTTCGCAAATGGTATCCAACCGGACATGGTACATTGTTAGCAATGGGGTTAGCCCACATTACTAACAATTCCCAAGTTATATCATATTAAAATTTAATACCATCTACATTCGTCCAATATTCATATTCACGCATTAATTAGTGGTATATATATAAAAATATTACGACAGCTGTTCTCGAAAAGTTAGTATTTATTTATTTATTTACAACTTCCCAATATGCTCCCAATATACATATATTAGGAAAAATTATAGGTACAGAAATATGATACATTCATTATTATAAAAAATATATATGAAAACAATAACAAACTACTCTAGGTAATGAATCGCCATTCTACTAAAATTCAACAAGTCACATGTAAATATGTCCAGCTCAGAAATCAACGACATCGTTGACTCTACAGTGCATTGTAAGTCAATTTATGGATGACTACCTGACCCTTGCAACTTCTGCTGCATCACACTAGTACTGGTAGGTACTTGACATTTATCATTATATTCGCCCAATTTACATAATATCTTTTAAAATTATAGCCCATGTGTTATTCTGATGTATAAGCTGTAACATCATTGTAAAGTTTAATTAAAATCCGTTCAATAGTTTTCGCGTGAAATGAGTAACATCCATTTATCCATCCATGCTCACACAAATTCGCGTTTATAATATTAGTAAGGTAATGGAATGGTGCACCCGTCTACGCTAACGGGACTCCGGTGGAGGTTGATGGGTATGAGGTCTGGTCAGCTAGTCCACAGTGGCAAATTCACCAGGAATTTACCATGATGGTTTCCAAGGGGAATCGCATGTAGGTTCACCTGACATGTTGCATTGTTAGCAATGGGTTTTTATCCACGTTATCGTGGATTATCGTGGATTATCCACGTTACTAACAGTTCCCTTCCCCCCGGTTGAGTATTATTATAATATCTCTATAAAATATTTATGATGAACTGTCTGTCTGTTTGATCCTGCTAATCTCTGAAATAGTTGGACCCATTTTAATACGATTGTCATTCGCAGATATTTTCCTATATTATAAGGAGTACCATTAATTTATTTTAATAAAAAAAAGACACGCAGCCGATGTCGCGGATAACAATTTTAAAAATGCGAGATTTTGGAGAGGATATATATGTATGGATAGTCTTTTACGTAAATACTATTAGGCAGATTTGGATGAAATTTAGTAAACATATACACCGTATTCTAGACTAGACTAACATCTTGATAAAAATGTATCTTCAAGTCAAATTATTTCAAGATTTGTTCAGGGTAACAAACATGCTTTCGCATTTATAATATTAGTATATTTATTATATCACGGATGTATGTGGGAATAATTCGAAGTCAATAGTTTTTTTATTATGTTGTAGATTACCTACTTGAATATTCCATCTAAACTCAACCAGGAAATGGTTAAAGAATGCAGTAGTATAAATGGTCTAGTGTCAGTTCATTGATATCAGTCGCTTTTTGCAAACTTAAACATGGCGAGAGAAACATATTTCGCCATAAAACATATCATTATTACCAAAGAAAGTAAATGAAAATCAATACGTTAGATGTCTAACATAGAGTATGAAGAACGGTAAATATGTATGGGACATAAAACGTTATTTATTCTATTGGGCAAGATAGACAATGTTTCTTAAATTTTACTACTTATGCCCGTGATTCCTACACTCTATAAATCACACGAAATGATTGACGAAAGTAGGCTCTGGCTCCGGGACTACTATTTTCCTCTTATGAGAAAAGGATTCCATGATAATAGCTTTACCAAATTTCATCCCATCAATATCGTTTAAACGGTTTTATCTTGAGTAAACAAACAGACAAAGTTATTTCCTTATTTTGTAACAATACTGGAAATTGTGTAGAAGGTAATCTAGGTACCTATGTTTCACCTATTTCTGTCACCTGCAGCTTACCTACTTTACTTTTATAAGAGACGTAACCTGAATATGTATTAAAAGAAATGGCAGAATTCTACAATATCTTAATTTATATTAGCATAGAAAAACTATTTACAATGAGCAAAAGATAAACATCAATTAAGTCAGTTTCCGTTTATTGTATATTCGACTCTTTCTCAAATGTTGCTATCACAAATATTTCTGATGCGCTAGCAATATGTCGATTAGCAAATCTTAAAAATGAATAAAATATTGCTTATGGCATTTTACAAAAACTGAGTACAGTAAAGTGACTCTACTTTATCTTTTAATTTATTTTATTACCTTGTTAATAATCATTTAACTCAATCATTCAATTTAATTTATTTCTATCTGCATTATATAGATTAGGTACTGAAATGAATTTTCTACAAAGTAACCAATTTTTGCCCTTCCCGTCGATCCCTCGTACAATTTAAACGGGCACGGAAATTAAGACAACCTGAGCCAAGGTTCAAACCCCTAACGTTACCCTCAGAATTAAGGCGAATCCGTAAAGACTGAGTTTTGGCCTTCAATCGCTCCATAGGTCCTTCTGTGGACTTGAAGTACCATCTGCACTCGCCCCCAATGGCTCGGTCAAGCTGTAAAGCTGCAGCTGCGGCCGACCATATTGCAACAGTTCGAAAATGAATAACAAACATTTATTTATCAGCAACAAATTTGCCTTGTAAGCTATATTTCAGTGAAGGTACTAAGTGGTAGTGAAATTACTGCGTACAGAAATGATATCTCGTTTGAAAAAAGAAACGCCTATAGTCAAACATTATATCTTTTTTTGGATCTGGTATTCTAAGAGAACCTGCGCCGGAAATATATGGTGGATTTGCCGCGATTTTTTCAATGCGAAGTACTTTTTTCAATATAGTTAGGGATGTTAACCGTATACGAGTTCTCGAACAAATACAAAATTTTGGCCGTGTATGTACGAGTAAGTACGAGTACGAGCTGATCTTCGTACGTTTTTTGATCTACTAAAATCAGTCTAAATACAATGAATTTGGATCTCTAAACTCATACAGTTTAGAGATCCAATTTGAGCTAATGTACGAGATATTATCAGATTATTTATTTCCTCGTACAAGATTGATATTTTACGATTGGCAACCCTGGCTGTGTGAAAGACCCAATATCAACGGTTAGCAATCGGAAAAGCCCAGGTTCTCATGTCCATATCCAAGCCGGTTGACATATCCTGTGCAAAGATTTTGGCGATATAAATTGTTAAGTATCATGTCGTATGTCAAGTTATAGGATTTTAATTAGGTGTGCCAAATATATAAGATTAGGCATTTTTGATAGATTAGTCTGATCAAACAGATGTATTTCTTTAAATACGTATGCATTTAGTGAAAAATTAATTTGAAATTGTTATTTTTAATATAGGTAATCTCATATGTTGCCATTCCCGAGAACGAAAATGCTTTGTCTCTACACCCTGTAATTTCCCTGTCTTAATCCTTGGATTTTTTCTGCGTGCGAAAGTGATCTGTAGTGATCGTGCTCTTTTGTGATGTCCCGTTGGTCAATTTTGTTTCTAACTACATATGATAATGAGATCGAAATAAATAATTGTGTGATTTAAATTATTCTTTTTCTATAATATTTTGACGGCCTCGGTATCCTTGCGGTTTAGCATACCGCCTTGCTTCCGATGGTCGCTGGCGCGATTCCTCATGCGACAGAAACATTTGTATTCTTGTATGACTGTACAATTGTTGATATCGATCTGGGTATTTTTTATGTAAATTATGTATTTACAGAAAATATATGTCTATGTATTTATATCAGTTGTCCAATACCCATAATACAAACTCTATTTTGGCTGGGACTAGATGGCGCTGGGACCATATTATATTATTTTTAATATTTATATGCAAATATTTCGTAAATGATCTTATGATAAATATTATCTATTATTGAAAGATGAAATGAAATACATAGTTCATCTCACCTTTCAGTCTTTTTAAGACAATTCAAGCCTTCTCTAGTTCATCATTGATTGATATTGAAGTTTTCTTGATGCCCAGGGCACCAATTCAACATCCTCACGAATAAACGTGAAATAACCTGAACAAGCAAAAGAAATTCCTATTTTACTTTATACTGAATCTTATACTTGTGCAACGTTTTTTTTTTATATAAAATACGTATTCTTAGGGAGGAGCAATAAATTCCAATTCTAGATAACTGCCTCGAGCTTATGCACATTGCTTGCATTTTGAAAAATGAGTAATTATTGCTTTAGTAGGTAGTACGTCGAGATACAGCATCTTAGAAGGCGGGGTAGCTATCTGTAATTTGTATTACGCCTCTACGCAAGTACATACGCTGTGGAATGCGCAACGCGCTCTCTATATACCTACTGGCTTGTATAGAGCAGAATTGTAAATATATTGAATACCTAATTTTTGCATACATTGTCAATTTGGCGTTTTCGCGTCTCGCTCATCGCCGAAAGCAAGCATCAGTCATTCGTTCGCCACTGGCAGACCACCGTCGTGTCTGTCTGTATATGTAATGTAAACATTAGCCCAGGAATGCATTTAGACTGTAGGTGCTGGAATATTATCATGAGCTGTGATAACGTGGCGGCGAGTCGGCGCGGCTCAGTCAGCGACGTGGGGTCGCACGGTACGGTCGCGTTCCGTCTGCGTGTCGTTCTAGTGACGTACGAAAGCATTCTGTGTTCGCGTACGCGCCGCATTCCATCGTGGGGGCCCTTCGCCGCTATTGGTCGGGCCCGAGTGACGTCACTCCTCGTAATGAGGTATTCAACATGGCCGTGTAGCTAGTTCGCGAGTGTGCTTCGTTATTCGTTTGAATGGATTTAATCAGTGAAATATGCCAAGGAGACCAAACGGCGAGATACCCTTGCCTGACGGTTGGGATTATGCGAGGGACTATGACGGGAAACTTTATTTTATTGATCACAACAATAGAAATACTACTTGGATTGACCCGCGGGACAGGTAAGTTTTCCAAAGAGAAGTGTTAACCCGTAAGAGCCCCATGTCAAAACTTTACATTCCAATGTAATTTGTGGCGTTTTCTGTTTGAATTTGTGTGTTACAGTGCCAAAGAGTGATAATATTCTTTACGTTCTCTGCACTGAGAAGATTGCAGTGATAAACATTGTTCTAAAATAGAATTAATCGTGGAAAACAAACTGCCCGCTCGACGCGACGGTGGTGCTCTCTAGCTGAAAGCGCGCGTAACTGACTCGATTTCACACGACATACCACAATTTAGTGACAACAAAATGAGCTAAACACAAATTATGGTTATCATTTGTTATCCATTGGAATGCATTGTTTTAGTTGCGTTGTTTCCATAAGGGGTCTGATTATTTGATGAACGGTGTTGGGTCGGAACTAATGAGGCCACGTAACTGGTTCATAGTAACGTTGGTGACTGAACGGGCTTAGAAATAATTCGTTAAGTGTTGTCTGAATATGGTATGTGTGAGATGGTACGGCTGATTTCGTAAGGTACGCGTGTATGGTGCGACAACGGCGCGGTGGGAGATGGAATGCAATGCATAGGCAAGTTGCGTCGTGTGAATGACAGGCCGTAGAATGCGGCTTGAGCCTGCGGCGAGCCGGCGATGGTCGCGCCTTTCTAAAGCGGCGCACCAGCCCCGCCGCGCCCCTCCCCTCACCACCGCAACATCTCGCCAAGCTGCAGGTGCTGCAACATCCCTATTAAATACCGATCATGTCTCTAGTCGTATCTATTTACCATGCTAAATGACACCTGCATCATTGTCTTAAAAAGTTTGACCTTAAAAACCCTACACCTGCGTTTAAAAATGCTAAGCAACACTTTGTAATGCTGCATGGCTCATACAATGATGCTAAACAGGATAAAATTGATCTTGTTGACCCATTTATTAACAAGAGGAATAAAATGAACTTCATACAACATGCTAACAATACTATTCACGATTTTATAACAAAACCTGTTTATCTTTGATACTATAATAAAATAATATCTTACAACAAACAGTTATTTTAAGAAACAGGATGAGTTTATGTATGTTCAATTAAACAATATAAAGTCAAAGTTATTTTAGACCATGTTGAAAGATGTTATGTATGAAATAGACATAGAAGAAGTCAAGCTTCAATGCAATATGTTTCAACATTACCGCATTCTTGGATTACTAAATTGAATATGTGACGCAAGGACAAAAGCTATAGCAGATGTTATGCGAATGTTATAAAAGAGTTCAATGTTTCAAAAAATCAGATGCGAATTAAAAGACTTAAGGATCCTGATTCTATTACACTGACACCGCAATAAAATTCGCCGCTCACACAGAATCCATAAACTTGGTATTTTTATTGAACCTTTTGCCAAAGTGCATTCCGTACGATCGTATCGACATTGGCGTGATATTTGAGACTCAGTGTACTTAAAACTGAATAATCTTATTTCCTTTATCAGATACAAACATGGAAAATTTCTAAATCGTTTAATTTATTTTACTGCAAATATAGAAATGTCTTTGAACAGATAATGTTTTTTAATAACAGATACGCTGCATTGTTTTGGTAGGAACTACAAGTCGATAATAAAGAGCAGTCGAGTCACAATCGACCTAGAAGTGAAGACACCGCGGATGTCACTGCCGACATCTACTTGTGTAAAGCGCGCACATAATAAACTGAGCCACTAAGCCAATTTATTAATGTCTAAAAATAACCAGGCCACGTCTCCAGAGCATACGCTATTATAACCTTATACGTGGCATGGTACCTAAACGTTCTATGAAAAATGTTGTCTCGGTTACGGCACTCGTGTTTCTGCCAGAATGTAATTATTTACATGCCTCCGCCGAGAATGTTGTCAACTAGGGCTGGTTTTTATGACTTGATATATACTAAATTGATATGAGTTTATTGGTCTGTCGCGACGAACCTTACGATCTCTTAGTTACATTAAATATGCGCCATTGAATTTCGAATTAAAATCTTTTTAACATGGTGGGGATATTTATGATGCTATTAGAGGTGTAGTCTGTACATAGCAATAAGTGGTTTATATTATGCTTCTATAACGAGGCTCTGTGTTGCGTGCGAATAAGCATTTTGCGGTTTTCGCAGATCTCAACAACAAGTGTGATACGTAACGATATAAGTGGTGCTTAAAAGAAGCGACAAGAACTCAACGACATAGAACTGTTCGACAGCTACGCATTGTGAGTCTAGAAAAAAGCTTTGTATCGTTTCTATAAGTAAGGAAGCGAGAAAGACAATGATAGCGGCGATTAACAAGCGAATGGGAACTTATACCCGAGTACGTCAGTGTTTATTACTTTAATTGTATCGGTTGAATGCAGTTTCACTGCGTCGGTACATTTAGCCTGTACATTGTTCAGCTTGCATACCACAGTGTTGCGTTCCGTTGCTAGTTAATGCATAATTCTATGTTGCGAGTGAAATCTGCGTACTGCATGCCTAGGTGTAGGCAAATTAGATGTGGGAATCGTAGGGATTCATATAATGATAGAATATTTAAAATTCTTCTTGCATTCTAATGTTTCGCTAGTCAAACACACCCCGGTTTTACACGGGTATTTAATAAAAATATAAAAAATTTAAAATTATAAAACACAATCATTTTTTCACACGCTGGGTTACGTTATCGGAGTTTTTATACCCTATCGTAACGTTTTTGAAAATATTCTATTGTATGAGTTCGAAGTTTCAATTTAGAATTTAATGGTAAATGGCTTCAAATTGGTTCAGCAATTTCGGAGCTATATTTATTGCAAACAAACAATTAATCGGTAAAATCTTTCCATCTTGTAATATTTGTATTATATATTAACGCATTTTCAATACTATAGACATTTACAGTATTGCTGTAACTGTCTTTATTAATACAGAACCATGTACATATATTGTACTGCAATCTAGGTACTATTAGGTATTTTGAATAATATTTATGAGCTTCTTCTGTAGCTGTTTAGTTAAATCAGGCCAATTGCTCATCGTTTTTCTCGACAACGATTGCACATATTTTAGTAGTAATATTGGTTGTAACGAAGCTGTCTTCATAAGATTGTGTAACCCAAGTATGTGTAAAGCATCTTGCATTCTTCCCACGCCCAACGCGAGTTCCTTCAAGCGTAACGCTAAAGGGGCTGGGCATTTTACTGCGTTTCTTGACTTTTGAACACTAAATAATGCTGTTGAATTCTCAAAGTAGAATAATGCTTAACGCGTTGTTTATACTCGGTAATCATCAAGGTGACCGACATCGAACCATTAGCTATACTGAAACGAGCGTGAACCGGTCACCTTTGCTAAAACGAAGTAAAAGTATTTTACGTACCTATTCAACGGTGTTAAGATATAGAGGGATAGTCATTTGAATATGATTAACGAAATATTTTAGCTTGAGGCAGATAATCGCTACAAACTAAGCCACCTACACTCATCAGAATGTATGTGGTGATTAATGTTTTCTCAAGAGATAAAAGAGAAGAAACATTTTCTTTTTAACAATTTAAACTAATTGTAGTCTATTGGGGAGTAGCGAAATGTAAATTTAAGTGAACCGTAGGGTGCGGCGCGTGGCCGAGCGAACGCAAAATAGCGTACAACATTGTTTACTCAACGCATTCCTTTCAGATAAATATGTCCTTGGTGGTTTTATACTAGCAGACGCGCGTAGAGACACCGCGCTTCGACTTATGACTGTTGATATAATTTGATTATTCTGCTGCAAATGATAGACGATCATTACTTCTTTATTTTATAATCTAAGCAGTATCTATAATAAAAATACTGATATCTACATTTCTAATTATGTACATACATTTAGAAGACTATAATAGAATACAATATTTACTAACAATTTATTCATGTTTTTTTATTTTCGCTGTACATTAATAGGGAAAGTTCCGTGAAGTGTCTGACATTCAGATAATTTTGATATGCCGATTCTAAGAATGTCTTGGAAACGTCGAACATACGAGGCCTTGTCACATCGATATATATTACTTTGTATTCAGAATATAACATTATCATCAGAAAAATTTTGTTCGCTATCTATGGTACTGGAAAATAGTCTTAAATCACGCATGTTTAAAGTTATCTATGCGAGTATGTGATAAAAACAGTACTGCTCTCATTTCTAATACAAATTAGCATTCCTTTCTTATCTAATATTGTCGTCATATGACTGTTTACATATTTGTAATGGTTTCATTTCATTGTCGCCCACTATGTACTATACTTCAGTACACATTTAAACTACCATAAATCTCAACTTTGTAATGTGTGTGCAATGGCTAACAAACTGACTTCCCTCCAGAACCCACCTGATGGTCTGTGGTAACCATCGCCTATGTACATGCACTACGGATATTATATACATCTCCATTCCAGAATACAAGATTTTCATCCTATTATTTTTAACTGGTGCCGCGTCAGTGTATACTGATAGCGCAGGTGAATGCACCATGCCATTACTATAGAAAATAGTTAAAATAAATAAGTTGATAATGTTGAGTGTTGATCAATCGTTTATACTGTTCGGTCATAAAACTGAATAACTTTTTGCCTGATTTGCATAAGACTGTTTGATTAAACTCCGGAGGACGCCCAGACTCCGGTCGCTAAAGAATGTTGCCTATTTTAATGTTTCCTCTATAAACATTAGTGACGATTTAAGAGGAGTTTATCGACTTGAGATTTAGATATTCGGCTGTTTCAATTCAGTATTTGTGTCCTCCTCTTCATTCAGGCGTGACAGCAAAACTTTACTAAAGTAATGTACTATCTTGGATTGTTCACAGGAAGGAGCTATTTAGGTCCTTTTTATTTATGACATTAACGATTACATTATCTAAGTTAGGCGTAAAAATGAGTTTAAACAAAAACTAATGTTGGCGCTTTGAAATAATAGTTTATTAGTACTAACGGCGAAATATTATTTTGTAGTAGTTTAATTTATTGTT